ATTTCCTGCTCGGACCTGCTCTGAACTGCCCAGCAGCTGTTGGCATGGGCTGGCTTGAGTTTCTCCCTCTCGCCATGGTAGAGTTTTCTGAGCCCATCCCAGAGTTAGTGCTTTGGCCTTCAACCCTGCTTCTTCCCCATCATTGTCTCTTTCCTTTCTTGTCTGAAAAATGTAGACAGTAGTTCTGCCGTCGTGGAGACTGAGGCTCAGAGACGATGCACGGAGAGCACGGGGCTTGGGGTGGGCCCGTGCTGCTCTGGAGAAGCCCTTACCTTCTCTCCCTCCTCAGGGCTTCCGGGTGGTGCTGGCGGAAGACTGCTGGATGAAGTCACTGGTTCCGCTCATGGGGGAAGTGAGGCAGCAGATGGGAGGCAAACCAATGTATATCACTTTTGATATTGATGCCTTGGATCCTGCCTATGCCCCAGGGACAGGGACGCCCGAAATTGCAGGTCTCACTCCCAGTCAGGTAAGGAGGCTCCACCAGGGGCAACTCTGAAGATGATCTCAACTTCCCTTGTTCCAGGGACCAGTAGCGAGTCTTTGGGAATAAGGATAGGAATTTTGAAGTAGGTCTCTGAAGTCAGTACTAGAGAAGAGCCTAACTCAATTTTAGGGGCTATTGACTTTGAATAGGGCCCTCATTTCCTGTCTGGGAGCAATACAGAATACAATGTTTTTGGTTTTGGTTATTTATTTTTTTGAATACTACTGTGCTCAGGTCTTATTCCTTGTTTGGTGCTTGGGCATTGCTGGGGTACCATGAGGTGTCCGGGATTAAACCTGGGCTCCCTGTATGTAAAACATACGCTTAGATTTGTAACTTTGTATCTCACGGTGATTCAATTAAAAAAAATAAATAAACATGCACTTAGTTCATTATCTCTCTAACCCCAAGGAATAGTATAATCTTTCATTTGGTCTACCTCCTTTTGTGGTCTACTTCTAGTAAGACTATGGGGACAGTGGTGTACCCTCTCTTAAGAATATCGTAGGGCTCGGGCTATAATTCAGTGGCAGAGTATTTGCTTTGCATGTGTGAAACCCTGTGTTTGATCCCTAGAACCACACATATACATGAACAACTTACAAAATGAACAATATACTTCTTTTTACAGAGCTGAACTTAATGAATTAGTTTTGATTTTGGGTCACATATGGCTGTGTTCAGGGCTTACTCCTGGCTCTGAGTTCAGGGATCACTCCTGGCAGTGCTCAGGGGTCCATAATGGGTCAAATTGAACCCAGGTTGCCTGTGTGCAAAACAAGTTACTAACCTGCTGAAACTCTCCATCCTTTGAATTAATTTGTTAAAAATTTAATTTATGGGGTAGAGTTCATGCACAATTCAATCAGCCTAATCAGTGGCTGAATAAATAGCAGTACTCCTACATTGAAAAAATTTAATTTATGGGGACCAGAGCAATAGTACAGTGGGTAGGGCGTTTACCTTGCACCAAATTACCTGGGTTTGATTGCCGGCATCCCATATGGTCTCCTGAACACTGCCAGGAGTAATTCCTGAGTTAAGAGCCAGGAGTAACCTTTGAGCACTAGAGGTGTGACACAAAAAGTCAAACAATTTTTTAAAATTTACATTTTGTTTTTAGCCATATTCACCAGTGCTCAGGACTTGTTCCTGGATCTTTGTTCAGGGATCACAACTTGGGTGACCATATGCAGTTCCAGGGATCAAACTGGGGTCTGGTCTCATGGAAGCGCTGTAACCTCTCTGATCCTCAGGGCTGAATTTTACAAGTGTACACAGTGGGATTAATATCTTCCAAGGTGGTGGGAGAGCTTTAGAGACACCCAGGTGAAATTCCTGTGCGGAGTGTTGAACGCACAAAGACAGGGCGGGGGTGCAGAGTGATTAGAACAGAAAAGTTCCTTTTGGGAGGCTAGGGCCCTTGTTGGGTGCCCACCCTGTCCTTGGAGGTGAGAACTAGAACAGTACCTGAACTGGTACTTCAAGATACTTGTGAAGGCCAGGGATATAGTACAGGGCAAGGTGCTTGTCTTACATGGAGCCTATCCAGATTTAATCCCTGGCATCTCCACCAGTGACCCCTGAGCACAGAAGTAAGCCCCAAGCACCACCAGGGGTGGCCCCATAATGAAAGGACAAAGCCAACCAAGCAAACAAGCCAAAAACAAGTCCCTGAACAAACCCAGAAGCCTTGTGAACAAATGCATGGGGACTCCTTAAGCAGTCAGGCAGATACCCTCAGGAAGGAGAACAAGCCTCAATGCCTTCTTCAGCCTGTTTTCCTCAAAGATGTCCAGGGCACAGCCCTTAATCCTCAGCTTCCCGTCCTTTGGACCTTTTCATTGGCACTAGGGCAGCAATTTCAGAAAAGGACTCTCTCTGGCATCTCAGCTGTACTGGCTATGAACCCTTTTTCCATGCTGGAGCCTTTCCCTCCTTCTTTCTGACCTTCCTCTAAGTCTTCTGCATCCGGCAGATTCCTGGAATTGTGTTCCCTCCTTGGGAATCCACTTTGTAAGATTCTTGTAGGTGCTTATATCATAGATATTTGGAGGGCCACACCTGGCGGTGCTCAGGGGACCATATGTGGTGCCAGGAAATGAACCTGGGTCTGCTGTATGCAAGGCAAGTGCTTTAACTATTGTATTATCTCTCTGCCTCTCTTCTCCTATATCCTGAGCTTGTTTTTTGATTTTTATTTTTGTAGCCACACCCAGTGGTGCTCAGGAAATCATGCGGTGTTGGGGATCTCACTTGGGCCTTCTGCATGCAAAGTATGCGCTCAGAAGGTTGATCTGTCTCTCTGGTCCTAACACTTGTCTTTCTTGAAGTCCTTATTGTATGGTATTGAACTGATTGGTGTTCCTTTCTCCATCATCACAATGTGGAGCTCTCGAGGGCTGGGACTGCTCACTGGTCATTTCTGTCTTTGGTGTCCTGAGCTGTCAACACATACTTATGAAGGGAGAGCAGCAGTTCTGAGTCAAAGGACAGACATGGGTTGTAAGAAATTTGTTGAGGGCTTTAGGGTCGCTTCTTCTCATGAATGATTTCCTCTGTGGACAACTCCTGACTCAAACTTGCACAGGCTCTGGAGATCATCCGGGGCTGCCAAGGACTCAGTGTGGTGGGCTGTGATCTCGTGGAAGTCTCACCGATGTACGATCTTTCTGGTGAGTACGGAAGCTGTGTGTGACCTGTGGTACAGCTGCCAGCTTAAAGAATATTAATATAATTCACCAGTAGAAACGGGTGGGTTCTTGGGAACCTGCTGAGTCTGGCCTCTGGTGAAGAAAATAAACCTGTTATTGCACTCCTAACAAACATGAACTAATTAACCCTAACAACCCCCCTGGGAGGTGACTAAGTATTATTAGCTTGCCCACCAATCTGCAGAAGAGAAACCAGCCTCTAGTTTAGTGATAGGGCCACACAGTCCCACCTGTTTTTGCTCTTTCACGGGAATCATAAATTCTCAAGGCATAAATATATATTAATATTAATAAAGTTGGGAGCTGATTTAGGAGGGATATTCAAAGCTAGTCCAAAAATTTTAAATGTAGAAAAGCTTAGGAGGTAGGTCTCATAGCCTCTGTGGGTAGATAATAAATAAATACAATTTGCATCATTATGGGTTTCCCTTTGGGGAAAATCTGTTCAGAGTAAACACAGAAGCACCTGAACGTTATTGTTTCTACATGGCACTTGATGGAGCAGAATGTCAGGACAGGCCTGTTGGGAGAGGCAGGGAGGCCCAGGGGCGAGTGGACAAGTGGGAGGGCTGCAAGTGAGAAGCGACTCAGGACACGCTTTGCCTGGTGTTCACAGCGGTTTCACTTCTCTACAGGGAACACGGCGCTGATAGCAGCCAACCTGCTGTTTGAGATGCTCTGTGTTCTTCCCAAAGTGAAGACTGTCTGAGTCCTCTGCACTTGAAGATGAAACAAGATCATCTGGGCATATTGGTGGTGGGGGTGGGGTGGGATGGTGGTGGGGTTGCGATGTGACTTTGTACATCAATACCACGGACACTAACACTATTGTAACCACATTATCTAAATGATACAAATAAAACATTATATCAATGATGGATTCTCAGGAATTCATGAGCAAGATGCCTTGCATGCAGCTTACTCCTGAGCACTGCCCACAGTGATTCCTGAGCACACAACCAGAAGTCCTGAACACTGCCAAGTGTGGCCCCCAAACCAACAAAAAATAAATAAGAAAATTCATGGGCAAATTGAGGACTAGTTTTTTTTTTTTTTTGCTTGATTTTGAACCATATGGAAGTGCTCAGGACTTACTTCTGGCTCTGCACTCAGGGGTCACCCCTGGCAGTGCTTGGGGGACCATATGTGGTGCTGGGGATAAAACCCTGGTCAGCCACATGCAGTGTGTGCCTGCTGTACTCTCTCCAGCCCCCGGATGACTGGTTTTATGACAATCAAACTTTTTTAGTGGTGGCTTTCAGCCCAGGGCATCCAGTTGAACTCTAAACAGTGAATATTTCTAAAGAGTTGGCATAAAAAACAAAAACAAAAACCACTATGCTACTTTGTTTTTTTCCCCCTTTTGATGATAATGGTGGACAGAGTGGAAAAGGATGCAGAATTTATTTTCACTTAAGATTATCTAAAAAGTGAAGGAATAAAAAAAACCATTTCTTTATAGTATATTCCTTTAAAAAGGAATTCCTTTTTAAATTCCTGTTCCATAAAAAGGATATGATTGCATACTGCATTCTCTGAGGAACTGAGGGCTGCACCTTGGTTTTAGGACTATCAGGAAAGTTTGGAAGAAAATAACATTCAGGTGCCTGTGAACTTCCCACTCAAAAAACCAGGATGGCTTTTAAGCCAGATGACGTCATCTCCTCCCCCAGCTGCTATGCCGACAATTCCCGCAACCTGTAGTTCAGACATGCTGATCTGAAACACGTGTGAATTACAGGCCAATTCCGGTTTACAGATGTGGCCATATCTCCCAATGCAAAAGCTACCCATAGTCATCACACATTAAAATAGTTTATTTGTTTCCAGTCTGTAATATTCTTAAAATAACATCAGCTTCAGTAACTGTTCACAATACAAAACAAAAACAACATAAAAAAAGACACCAGTTGCCAAATAAGTTATTTGTTCCTAAGAGTATCAAAAGTGCAAAATATTCACCTTCTTTTCAGATCTGTCTCTAGAGTACAGTTATCACCTTTGACAAACTTGACAGTTTTAGCAGCTGCCATACTGCATTTGTTTTCAAGGGAGTTTAGATGTGAGCACTATTTCATGTGAGTAAAGATGTTTTGCATCAGCTTTTAAAAATTTTAATTGGAAAACAAAACAAACAAAACCCAGTTTGAGGCTGGGCACGTGGCTCCGTGGTAAAGCACATTCTCCGCATGCAGGAGACCTGGGCGTGGTCTCTGGCACTGCAAAATAAAATGTTCCTGTTTGCTTCCGATCCATTTCCCCAGAGCAGATCATTTAAAGCACACGGAGATCCTAATTCCTTTTGTATCAGGAAAACATTTATGTACTGAAAGAGGAAATCAGTGTATTCGTTAAAAACCACAGCCCGCCGTGCATGTGGTTGCCGAGATAGCAGTGAGACCCCGGGCCTTTAAATTAGGGCAGTCGTAGTCACAGGAGTGCTTCGTAGTTGGAGGTGCTGACGCGTGTCCCACAGGCTGTGCCACCACATGGGGAATTAGATAATGTTTTTCAGATGGGCATGTTTTCTACCAAGACTTGGTTCAGGCCAGTGTTTGTTCTCCTCTGCTAAACATGGAGCATAGTCTAATCTGTATCAACCAGAAAAACCTACCTCTGAAATATCAATGGTACCTGTTTCAAGACATTCAAAGACTAGGATACTAACTTAAAACCAAAGACTGGGTGTGTGTGTGTGAGTACATCTGTCAGAAGGAAGGTGGCATTGGCAGAACTGACAATGGCTCGTACATTTGACACGCAAGTAAACAGATTCATGGAAGCAATATTTAAGAGCAAAAGCTCCAGTGATCAAGAGTTAAGTTCTAATTAAAATGAAAGCCCCTAATACCTTCTTGGATGCATACCTGCCTGCCCTCAAGCAGATCTGTAGGTTTTATTTTCTTTTCCCAGAGATTGATCTTGGAGCCTCAGATATGTGAAACACACACTGTAGCATGGGGCCACTTCCCCAACCCCTCCTACAGAATATTTCACTTCCTGAAATATTTGCCAGCATTATCATCAATCCTGTAATGACTTCCCTTGCTTAGTAAAAATGGAAGGTTCCACTGTGGGAAGACACCTTCGATTTTAGTATAAAATGTTCACAGATGAGCAAATCAAGGGAGTTTTTGATTTTTGGAAATTTGGCTGAGGAATTCCATTTTGTACCAGAAATTAAAAATAAAGTCTCGCACTGAACCAAAAGATAATTTTGAGGACTTGCACATCAAGAAGTTCGATAAATCCCTACTGTAGCACATTTTAATTATATAGGATCGAAATGGTTTCGCTTAGAGCAATTATGATGAAAGAACTTAGTAAGTATCCTACTGCTGCTGATTTTAACTCTTTACATTACAAAAGGACAATTTGCTCTGATATTTAAACAGATGGCTCTTTGAAGATGTCCAAACTCCGCTGGTGGTCCTGCCTCACAGAGACATGGTAGGCCCCTCTAGCTGGTCGGTGGAGGCAGGCTGGATCCATTGGAGACTGGAGCTCAGCAGGCTGGGTGCGGACAGATCAGACCCTGTAACTGGTACCAGAAGCAGTGGGAAGGTAAGAGAGAAAACAATGTGGGACACCGAAATAGAAGCCAGAAGCTCAAAGTCAACCGTGTGCAAAATAAGAGTCGGGAACAGGTCTTGGTTCACTTATCACAAAACAGGACTCGAAGATACAGAACTTGGGGGTTCAAAATACATGTGTTGAGAAATTTTAAATTCCTTGATACAAAGACATGTCTGGTATTTGACTAAAGCGACACCACGGGAGTGAAGAGGTTCTTCACGGCAGTGGCGAGAACATGTTTTCAGTTTAACATCTAAGGGCTTATAGCAGCTTACCTAAATGTTCAGAAAACAAGGTCACCAAGTTATGGCTCCTAATATCCACACCCTAAAAGTGACAGAGGCAGAAAGGCATCGGAAAACGCACGCATACATGGCTCAAAGTCATTACAGTACTTCTGGCCCATGGCACCCTCCCCCAGCAACATAGGGTGCCAGGGAGGCCTGGAGGGGCAGTTCACAGGGGCTCACGCAGGTACTGCCTGGCTCTCACCTCTTTTCTGGGAAAAAAACCAACCCCCCGTGCAGAGCTCCTGCTCATCCCAATCCTTCTAAAACTGGCTGACAAAACTGTGGTAGGGGGATACCCCCCAAATATATTCTTGGCCACTTACTCCCAGAAAAACCGTTCAGTGTAACGAGGGCTTGAACTAGGCCTCTTTCAAGATGCAAGGCCCTCAAGCTGCCGGGAGTGGTCGGAGCAGAGCAGGGGTGAGGTGGGCACGGGGGAGGGGGGACCCCCACACAGCCCCCAGCTTCTCCCACAGCGCAGACAGAGCAGGGGAGGGTTGGGTGAGCACGTGGCAGGGACAGCAAAGGAAGAGGGGAAATGAAGAGTTGATTTTTTAAATAGGGTGGCATTCAAGTGAGGGGGCAAAAAGAAACCAGACGAAAATAGTTGAATCTCAGGAACTGAATTTGTGGGTGGCGTTTTTCACTCCTGGAACAGGACAGAGGACAGATTCTTCGAGTTGCTCTAGAAGAATCATCTAAAAATCTATACTTTGTCCGTTGTAACTGAGTCCTGAAAAATACCGTTTCTCAGGTAAAAAGTCTAAAGAGTTTGAGTCTGTTTGGATTCTCTCAGTCTAGTTCAGGCCACGAGGGGATATAAAACCTCTGTAAGGAGCCTTCCAACAGGCGTTCCATCCATAAGGACAACTTGTTCAGTTTCTCTTTGATGGGCTTGGATCCGGAGCCAAAAGCAGATTTCCCCCGAGATTCACCCAGGTGCAGCGAAGGGTCCGGGTCACTGCAGGACCCCAGGGCCTCCTCCTCTTCCACTGTTTTTTGGGGTTTGAAGAGACAGAAGTACTTCTTGTGGCCGTTCAGGGCCAGCACATAGCCAGTGTAGTCGCGTTCCATAAAATGCTTATCATACTGGTTTGGGATTGGGGCTGCGTCTTGAGCGAATTCCAGTAAGTATTCCAGCCACTCTCTGTGTTTATCCAGACTCAGGAAGGAGAAGTGCAAGCAGTTGCTCCTGCAAAGAACAGCAGAGTCGATCAGGGACCCTCCGCGCGTTCACGGGGACCACCAGCACCTAGGCCAGACGGTCCATAGCAGGAAAAGGCTTTGCCTTGCAGTCTGCGTACAGGGAAGAGGAACTCTCTCTCCAGGGGGGCTCCTGTACCCACGACACTCACCCATCCCTTTCTCACCCTCTGCTGGGTGCTGCTGTAACTGCCGGCATCAGACTTGAGCAAAACACACACAAGAGAGGCTCACAGGAGAAGACAGTGCTCCAGCTCTTCCCTTAGAACCAAACCGCTGAGGTCCCCTCATTGCGGCTCAGATCGCTAGGCCGGGCAGGTCACAGCCAATATCTTGCCACACAGATGAAGTTCCCTAATGGTCGGGGCCAGGGAGATGTGTAAAGGGTGAGAGAACATGCTTCTCATGGGGGAACCCTGGGTTCCATGCCCAGCAACATGTGGTCTCCTGAGAACCACTGGAAGTGACTCCTGAGCTTCTTAGCTAGGAGCAGCCCCCGCATACCGTTGGCTATGGCCCCCAAGCACAACAGAAGCTAAAAATCCCCGATGGTCAGAAAAATAAATTTTCCTCTAGCCTTTTGTTTATTCAAATATAGTCAAACATACAGAGATACTCCCATGCTTACCCAGTGAACGAGTAGACCTCCAAAGCAAATTTCTGGAGCAGGCTGGTCTTGGTGGCGTTGGACAGGATGAGGACGACGTTCATGTGGCCTGGCCGCAGGCGGACCAGGTTGCTGGTGTACGTCACATCTGTGAGCTCAGTCACCTCCACGAAGCCTTTCTTAGGAGCCTTGCTGTGGAGAAATAGGAAGGAACGAAGGTGTGACCTCTAAAGAGAACAGTGCGGGTTCCAGAGCTAGCTCAGCGGGCTGGAGTGCCTGCTTCACATAAGTGAGACTTGGGTCTGGACTGTGGCAGTGCATGGTCCCCAGAGCATTGCTGGGGAGGCACTGATTTGAACTGGATGTAACCTCAGTAACTGAAACAAAAAGGAACAAGCAGAAGAAAAGACTCTGTTGTTACCAGTCCAGATGTTAATAATGCTCCTTTTTGGGGCCAAACTGACTGTTTTTCATTTGTCTCAAGTGAGACTGAGGTGGCTTAAGGTGCCAATAGCACTTCTTGCCCAGTGGAACCAGTGGTTCACAGCAAGGGTCCAGGACCCCTGGTGGTGCTGAGGTGCAGAGAGAGACAGGGCTGCGTGCGGTGACACTCGGGGGCCCTGTGATGCTGGGAACTGAAGCACCCTAATCGCAGCTACTTCTGGCCCCATGACTGACATTCCCGATCCTGCATTGGCACAGAAATGCTTTAGGATGGAACAAAGACCACCGTCACACACTTCTCTCTGCTTCTGCTCACTGAGCATCTCCAACGCGCTTCTTTGCTTGCTGCCTGATGACTAAAAGTGAGACTGAGAAAGCAAAGTCACCAGCACTGAGAAGCAGGCCCATATTTACTTTTTGTTTTGTTTTTGGACCACTTCCAGTGATGCTCATGGCTTACTCCTGGTTCTGTGCTTAGGGATCAACCCATATGGAGGCTCCGGGGACCATATGGGATGCTGGGGATTAAACCTAGGTTGGCCATGTGCAAGGCAAATGCCTTTCCTGCTGTACTATCGCTCTGGCCCCAGGACCCGTGTTTATGTGCCTTTTCCCTTCACCCTCATCCCAGGCAGGAAGGGTGAGCCAGAACTCTGAAATGCTGTGAATTCCAGCCCCTATAGCTGATACTCTGTGGGTCTGCTGCTGAGGGGACATGCATTTGGAGTTTGGTTCAAGAAACCTGTTGTTTTCTCTGAAATTGGGCTCCGTCTTCCCGGCCTTCTCACGTGTTTCTTCTTTATTTGGAGGGTTTGACTCTCTCTCATCATTGGAATCACTGAAGTTAAAAAAAAAAAAGTTTTACCAAAATCAAACAAGAAACACAAACCACTATGGGGGTTTGGGGCTCGACATTCAAATATTTTCTCGAGAGGCCACAGAAGCATTTACCTGAAAGCCTGCACGATGACAGTGCCAAAGAGGATGAAGAGGGCAGAGAAGATCAGAGACAGCAGTGGCATCAGCTCCCGCCTGCAATGAAGCCAATACACTCGGGTCATTTCCACAATACCGGCTGTGACACATCTTGGATGATTTTAAGTTTCTGCTCCCCAGCTCAAAACACACAACCACACACAAAGGCAACACACAAAGCCAAGCCAAAAACCTTCCAGAATCACAAACACTTGAGGGTCACAGAGACGGTATAGGGACAGGCTTGATTCTGATTTGATTTCTGGCACCACATATAGTTCCCTCAGTACCACCAGGAGTTACTCCTAAGCACAAATTCAGGAATAATTCCTGAGCACTGCTAAATGTACCCCCTCCTGCCCCTGCAATAAAACAAAAACCACAAAACAAAAACAAAAAAAAAAAAACAGCATTTTTTTTTTTTGTGGGGGAAGTGTGGTGGAGGAGATGCTGATGGAAAAGTAGAGATTTTTCTCCTCACTGTTTTAATTCACTGATGACATATTTTAAAAGTTTAACCGTGTCTCAGTATAAGCTGTGCTTAATAGATTCTGTGGAAAGAAGGAACAAGAGGGGTTAACCAAAAGTTTCAGTTCTGCACATGGAAGAAGCTTCTCAGCTAGAGGGTAGTGGGAGTGACAAGAAAATCTGTAGAATGGCATCCTTTGTATTTTTCTCAATTAGCCAGACTAATTGAGACATGGTCTGGATGGGGGGGAGCAGAGAGAAGGTGGCCTTTTAAGATTTCCTTTTAAGACTAGTGTTCTAAAGCTTGATTCACTGACAAACACCCGAAGGCCTGCTGGGTGCCAGGCATCACAACAACAGAACGAGCTGGGCCCTATGCGTGTCAGGTCAATGAAGAGCACCAGAATCTTGATGACAAGGACAGTCCAGACTCTGCTAACTGGTGGTTCTTTGTTTTCCAACCAGTAACAGAGCATCAATAACAAATACATTTCTAAAAAGTAAACTTGGGGCCAGGGATGTGGCTCAGTAGTAGAGCACTTACTTTTTGCATGTGAAGCCCTGCGTTTGATTCTTGGCACCACCAGAAGCAAAAAAAACAGAAAACAACTTCTCCCCACAGAAAAACCCAAACAGATGAAGAAACCCACCCACAAAAGTCAGAAGGGACCTTCCCGAAAGTAACAGAAAGAGGGCAAGTGGTTGACAATAGGCAAAAAAGTCTTCCACTTGTCAAGAACCAAACGTGATAGCCTCTCAGTATCTGTATTGCAAACCATAATGCTCAAAAGTAGAGAGAGAGTATGGGGGAAATTGTCTGCCATGGAGGCAGGGGGAAGGCTGGGAATGGGGGGGTATACTGGGGACATTGGTGGTGGAAAATGTGCACTTGTGGAGGGATGGGTATTCGATCATTGTAAGACTGAAACTCAAATATGAAAGTTTTATAACTGTATCTCATGGTGATTCAGTTAAAAAAAAAAGTCTTCCACTTGTCTATACCAAGTACAAATTGAAAGCAGTGGACGGACTCTTGTCAAAAGGAGAGCAGTCGTCCTGCTAGGAAGAATGAGGAACTGAGTCCTACCAGTTGTTGTGGAAAATGCTGTCCCAGCAGTCTGAGATGTAGTCAGAAGCAGAGTAGAGCCACCGAAGGAGAAAAATCTATCGAGAGAGAAAAGAGACAATGTTCGGGGCTGAGCCCAGGTCCAGAGGGACAAGGCATCCAGTGCTGCTGCTGAAGCTCTGCCCTGAGCCCCCTCCCAAGCCAGAACTTACAGGAGCGAGTTCATCCGTCAGGTCGGGGAGCACGGCCTCGGAGGACAGCAGAGTTGCGTCTTTCCGCAGCTGGTTGAGGTGACCCAAGAGGATGAATTTGTCGCTCTCACTCCCTGTCCAGGGGTCCTCCAGGGTCCTGTAGGCCACCTTTCCTGCTGTGTTGCGCCTTTCTAAGATAGACACCTGCAAGAATGAGAGAGAAAACCATAGAAGTCGCCAGGAGTGCGAAGCTGCTACAGTTTTCTTTTTCAGGGAGGCAGGAAAAAGGGGTCTTGTGAGGTTAATAGGAGACGCCAAACACAAATAGGGCTGAGTGTCCGGTATGTGCAAGAGATGTACATTTTTCTATAAAGAAAAATGTGTTGTTTCATTTTATGTTTTGGTTTTTTGAGCCACATCTGGTGGCGCTCAGGGTTCACGTCTGGCTCTGAGCTCAGGGATCAATCCTGGCAGGGCTCAGTGCACAAAGGTGGTGCCGGGGATCAAACTTAGGTTGGCCACATGCAAGGCAAACAAGCTATTCGCTACTGCTTGGGCCAGGTTTGTTTTATTTTGGGGCCACATCTGGTGATGTCCAGACCTTAAGCTTTGCACTCAAGAATCACTCTTGGCTATGCTTGGGGGACCACATGTGGTACCAGAGATCAAATCTGGGTCAGCAGTCTGTGCAAGGTAGAAGCCATACCCACCATATACCCACCCTGGTACCACCCCCCCCCCCCCCACCAATTCTTTGAATGGGGATTATCTATGTTAGGGCCGAAGCTGGCAGCGTTCAGGGGTTACTCTGGGCAGTCGTCCCTGTTCTAGGTCACTCCCAGAAGTGCTTAGAGGACCATCTGGTGCTGCAGAAAGAACCAGGGCCTCCCACATACAAAGCATGTGCTCAGTCCATTGAGCTATCTCCCTGGCCCTAGGGTGTTTTTTTGGAGGGGGTGGGTGGACCACACCCAGTGATGCTCAGGAGTTATTCCTGGCTCTGTACTCAGAAATTACACCTGAGTGACTGGTGCTTAGGGGGGGACCATATGAGATACCAGAGATCGAACCCGGGCTGGCTGTATGCAGGGCAAGCATCCTAGCCTCTGTACTATCTCTCTGGCCCCACTATGGTGCTTTTTCTCCCCCCCCCCCCTTTTTTTTAAAAGCTTCCTTTAAAGGCTAAAACTTTATTCCTCAATAGACTTTGTACTAAAAACTTCTAATAATATTTCATTTTTATAATTTTCTTCTGGCTTTTAGGTTACCTCTGGAAGTGCTCAGGGTATCATACACAATGCTGGGTATCACCATGGAGTTGGCTACATTCCAGGAGAGTGCTTCACCTCCTCTACGATCTCTCCAGCCCTCTGATACTCTATATCTTAATACAGGAAACTTTCTGTCTTTCCGAGATATTTTTCTGTGGTAACCCAAATGATGAAAAAGAGAAGAATTTTGCAGAGTGAAGGCAGAGGAGGGCCACGGAAAGAGGGCAGTCATTTGGATGAGGGGAAAGAGGCAGAAGGAAAGGAAAGACCACTTTTGGAAGCCTGTGGTTGGTGGTTTACATGTCATTCCACAAACCTGGCGCTGTCAGATGACCTGACAGGAAGACGTGGTGATGTGGACCCGGAGCTCCTGACTGCTTGGGACACAGGTGCTCACTGAGAAGGCCCAGGGCCGAAGGACGAGGATGTGCGTTTAAGACTCATTTTTCTTTTTGGGTCACACCTGGTGATGCACAGAGGTTATTCCTGGCTCATGCACTCAGGAATTATTCCTGGCGGTGCTGGTGGTGCTCAGAGGACCATATGGGAGGCTAGGAATTGAAACCCGGTCAGCCGCATACAAGGCAAAAGCCCTACCTACTGTGCTCCAGCCCTTAAGAGTAGGTTTTTGAAATAAGAATCAGAGATCTCTGGATTTCCAACCCTCCCCAGAAGGAGGCCACAGAATCTAGCACCATGACCTGCCGGAGAACCTGGGATTGGGAGAGGTGGCCACTCACCGCGGACTTCCCTTGCCATGCAGCATCGTCCGGGAGCAAGGAGCTGGCGAACTCCTGCTGGCGGTTGCTGTAGACGTGCACGAACCTCACTGTGTCTTGAGTGTTGGCCAGAGCGAAAGATAGGAAGGCCTCAAAGGGCTTACTCGACTTGGCGGACTCGGGCGTGACCAAGACCACGCAGTACCTGCACAGCAACAGAGGAGGAGACTGTAACCAACCCCCCAGGCCACGGGAGGACCCCTGATGGCAAGTGGTGGCCAAGAGAGAGTGCTCAGACCCTACCAGTGGACACATTTCACTAAAGAAAACTGTCTGCTGACAGTCTTGAACGAGAGAAGATGTCCAAGTCATAAGCACCCTGTAGCTTTTCCAGACTGGTGATATCTTCACACAGTCAAAGGTCACAACATTTAGTAATTATTTCAAGGCAATGACCACTGAATCCTTGGTGCAGAAGTGCCTTTCAGAAGCCATTGGTTTTCGTTCTTCCCACATAAGCAGGGCTGGTCCGAGCTATCTCAGGCCAGAAGCCACTGGCCTGAAAGACTTCTTTTGCAACAGTCCCAATGAACGTTCAGCTATTCACTCACTCACTCTTTCCCAAAAGTTTAGTGAGCACTACCTATACGCTACATAAGACAGACAATGCCTCTGCTCTGGGGGAGCTCAGGTTCTGATGGAGAAGGCAAGCAACAAAGAGATGAAGCAGGGCAGAAAAAGCAGGAACAGTTAGGGAGAGACTGGGGGAGACGCCAGGGCGGGGCAGCAGCCGTGTCCACTAGGTAGGTGATGTTTGAGTACAGACCTGACTGAAGAGGGTCCTAAGAGGGAAAGGGGTCAACTAGGACAGAGAACTTTTAAGTACAAAGACTCTGAGATGGAGAATGACTTCAATCCACGCCCAGTTCTAGAAGGCTGCCTGGCTAATGAACATGGACAGCACACAGCAGGGACAGGTGGAAAGGAAGTGGGCATTGTTGGAAGCCTCACAAGGGGGTGTCCTTGGGAGTTTGGGGACCTGTTCCAGAGCGCTGAAAAGTGAGAATGCAGATCTGGGACATTCCATTTTGAAGGCAGAGTAAGTAACAATCCTTAAAGTCTAGGGATTCTTTTTCTTTCCTTTCTTTCTCAGGGCTTACATCTGCTGCAAGGCAAGTGCTTTACCCAGTTTTCTATGTCTCTCTTTTTCTTTCTTTCTTTCTTTCTTTCTTTCTTTCTTTCTTTCTTTCTTTCTTTCTTTCTTTCTTTCTTTCCTTTCTTTCTCTACCTGGGCTTTTGCGCCACACTCAGTGATACGCAGAGATCACTCCTGGCAGTGCTCATGAGGGGAACTGAACTGGAGTCAGGCTTTAACCTCTGCACTATCTCTTTGGCCTTTGATTATTCTTAATATCTATTTAAAGTCTTTTGTCTCTTAGTCTATAAAGTAACATGAGAGTCTGGAAACACAGGGACATTTTCTATTTCTTTTCTTTTTTTAAAAAACTATTTTTAAATTATTTTTTGCTTTTTGCGTCATACCCGGAGATACTCAGGGGTTACTCCTGGCTCTGCTCTCAGGAATTACGCCTGGCAGTGCTCAGGGGCCGTTTGGAATGCTGGAGATTGAACCTGGGTCGGCTACATGCAAGGGAAAGGCCCTCCTTTTACTTGGTTTTTACTGTCCTATTACTCCAGCCCCAGAACATTTTTTTAATGGAGATTATTGGTGCCAGAAATGTGGTGTGTGCTTTGCGGAAAGGAGGCCCTGGGTTCAATGTCCTGCAGTGAATGTGACAGGGCTTCTCTATCATATGACAAAACCTTGAGTCCTTACTTCCTCTGTCGGTGAGACCGTTTCACAGGGCAGAGTTCGTGGAATAACTTCTGGCTGGTAAGCCTGGCTGCCAGCAGATACTTATTTTGGCTGATGAAGTCCTCGATGAGCTGTTTCTTCATATCTCGGGCCTAGACAGAAAACAAGAAACAGTTGGCTTTAATTCAGGTTCCTTGTGGCAAATAGGCTTGCTTTATAAACTTTAAAATTTATCAATGGCTAAAATAATGCAACCCTGGCAAAGGTAATCTAACCAATGAAGGCAGATCTGCAAGTGCAGGGTTGAATGTAACGATGTAGTATTTCAGATCAAAAGGAAAACAAAGTATTCTTTCTATTAGATATGGTATACTGTTTTATGCTGGCAGATTACAAACTTCAATCATGAACTTTCAGGTAAATTATCCATTAAAGATTTATAGAACACTTTAGAAGTTTGCCTTGCATGTGGCCAACTCAGGTTCGATTCTCTGGCACCACAGATGGTCCCTGGGCACTGCCAAGAGTAATTCCTGATGCAGAGTCAGGAGTAACCCCTGAGAATTGCTGGGTATGCCCCCCCCCCCCCAAAAAAAACAAACAAACCAAAAAGCCCAAACCAAAATAAAAAGACCTAAAGAACACCAAACAATTAAAAGTAACCTCGAAATAACAATGTTACTTAGTATAAAAGGCAGAACAAAAAAGGATATGCTTGGACTCTGTTATTTTATGAATGTTTTTAAACATTCATAAACTTCAGAGGAATAAAATAATTTATAGCACGTTTTCTGACCACAATCTAGAAATCAATATAAACTATAAACCAGAACATTGATTAAGGCTTGGAAATTAAAATACTCTGAATAACATTGATCTTATGAAGACGTTACATGTGATATCAGGAAATAGTTTGGCCTGCTTGTTTGGTTTTGGGATTGTGTCCAGTGTTACTCAGGGGCCTACTCCTGGCTCTGTGCTTGGGGGCCACTCCTCGTGATGAGTGTGGGAACAAACCCAGACTTGCATGCAAATCACACACTCCAGTCCACTCTCAGGCCCTGAGAAAATAACTTGAAGTTGATTGATAAATGAAAACTTTCAAAACATTGGTACACAGACCAAGTAGAACTTGGAGGGGAATGTTATGTAAACAGAGGCGAGATAGTACAGCAGGTAGGGTGCTTGTCTCGCATATAGTTAACTTGGTTTTGATCCCTGGCACCCCATACAGTCCCCTGAGCCCTGCCAGGGGCGATCTCTGACTTCAGAGTCAGGAGAAAGCCCTGAGCACTGCTGGGCGTGGCCCCCAAATACAAAGACCAAAAACAACAACTGCCATAGGAAGCTGGGGATGTGGGTCAGCGGCAGAACTCAGGCCTTGCGTGTGAGGTCCCGGCTCCCATCCTTGGTGCCAACAAAGAAAAATAAAACAATGGAGCAGCAGTTGCCCTTCCCGCTGCTGCACTCAGCTTGTTGAGCTCTCATGCTGGCCCACGGGATGGTTTCATTTCCACAAAAGAGCAAAGCAGGCAAAACTAATCTATAGTGTTAGAAAGCCACAATACTCAGACTTCTTGGAAGAAGGGGAAATGGCTGGGATGGAGGGGGAACTAATTGGGCGCTGCTATTATTTTATTTCAGATCCAGTAATGCCTAAACAGACGCATTCACATTTCATTCATTTAACAAGGATTACTTCCTGCAGTTCGAGGGGCTGAGAGCAGGGTGGGGGTGGGAAAGGATGGGACCACTCCTGGCAGTGCTCAGTCCTTGCTGCTTTGGTGGGTTTGGTGCGTGGGCCTGGGGTGCTGAGAGGCCACCAAGGGCACACCCTGGAGCGCAAGCTTTGCATGCGGAAAGCCTGAGTTTGATCTCTGGCACCATACGGTTCCCAAACACGCCATTCTCTCAAACCTCACCGCTTTCTCAATTAGGTTTACGTAATATTTAAATGCCTTTGTTGTCACTTCCATGACATGCACAGCATCCTCACCGGGAATAGGTAGATTCTATCTCAGGAGACTCTGTTTTTGCATATTGCTAAGAAGCAGTTCCTGTCCAAATCTGATTATGAGATTGTAGCAGTTTAGTCACATCTTCAGGCACCAGTTCTAATTCTAGCTCTCTTGATAGATCTACCATATCTGCAGTTCCTTTTTCTACTGAAGTCTTACACTCCTAAGAGTCGAACAAGAGCTAGGTCTACTTTTTTCCAAGCCTCTGTAAATGCTGCTATTTTGAATTCCTTCCATGACTCATATGTAGTTACCACTTCAGTCCCTGACCCCATCCGGGTGCTGCATTATCAAACCCAGGCACTCACACAGGTCAGGTATTCACTCTACCACAGACTACATTACTTCTGGTCCTTAGCATAATTCTTTTATTTTTTGGTTTTTGGGAGATGCTCTGGGGTTACTTCTGGCAGTGCTCTGGGGACCATATGGGATGCAGAGGATTGAATGCAGGTTGGTCCATGTGCAAGGCAAGCTCCCTACCTGCTATACTATCACCCCAGCCCCTTAATTCTTTTATCCCCCCCAAACCCCTTTTTTAAAAATGTATGGGCCATACCAGGTGAGTGCTGAAGAGCTACTCCCTGTTGTGCTTGGGGGAGTACTGAGAGTTTTAATCTTCAAGGAATGAAGATTTTCAGAGTGGAAAGTGAGTCCAGGTTTCAGCTTTAAGTTACAGTTGTGTTAGTCCTTAGGAGAGAGTCAGTCTGATACTGGAGCTTTTCTGAGGGCCACGTCCAACCGTACTCAGGGCTTACTCCTGGCTCCCTGCTCAGGGATAACTCCTGGTGGTGCTCAGGGGGTTGGCTGTGTGCAAAGCAAATGCTCTACCCATTATACAGTCTCTCAGGTCCGGAGCTTTAAAGCCAGGTTTCAATGTCTCTGCTCTAGCTAGCTAAGTACGCAATGGCATCTTATTTCAACAGGAAGGCTCAAACACTGAACAGCAGGACTTCGAGAATCCATTTCATCCACCTTGAAAATATGTCTAGTGATGTGATCATCAGTGATACTGGTGGACTCTCTGGGTAACTTGCTGTTGCTCCACATCGGCACTTGCTGCCTCACCTTGCGCCCTCATGTTATAGAGAGCCCTTCTTCCCTTAATCCTCACAGGACAACCTGACAGATTCAAACTTTTCTTCTGCAGCTTTCTGGCCTCACTCAGCCTTCACAGAATAGCATAGCAAGGGCCTTGCTCCAGATTGAGCTCTGGCTTACAGGAATGCTGTGGTTGGTTTGCTCTTCTCTCCAGATCACTAAAACTATATCTGTTATCAGGCTGATAACAAGGCTGAATGTTTCACTCAGTAAGATTCTTATGTTTGCTGGAGTAGCACTTAAGAGTTTCCTACAAGAATGCGTCCTCGGTAGCCACGTGACTGTTGGGCACAGAGGCCTCTCACTCACTCAGCTTCCTGTATGCCTTCCTCATTAAGCGTCACCGGTTCTAACTTCTGACCTCCAGTGAGAGACATGTGACTCCCCTTTGATTTAAACAATGAGAGGTCACTGTAGCAATTAAAAAATATATATATATCCCTCTTCCCTGCTGTTTTTGCATTGTGGATCCTGTGTACAGCTTGACAGCGATGCTAATTCTGTTCTACCTTTTCTGTTGAGGGTCTTGAACCTATGCTCACTACAGGGTGGGGGGAGGGTGGGTCACTGTAGTGCTCACACAAATGCTCACTGGGGCTTGCAGTCCTGGCGGCAGTGCTTGCGTATCTGTGTTTGCTTTTGAGCTATACCCAGCAATGCTCAGGGGCTTCTCCCGGCTTGGTGTCGGGGGGACTGTGTGATGCTGGGGACAGCTTTAGCATCTCCAGCTGCCCTTCTATCTTGAGTTGTGCTCCCTGTAGACAGCATCCTTGGGCCATGGTGCTCACCTACTCCTGGCTGTGCTGGAGGGGACAGACTGCTGTGTCCCAGATAACAGAGCTTCAGTGACAGGGAGCAAACTCAAAGCTTCAATGTTTGCAAAAAAACAAGTGTTCTGTTACTGAGTCATTCATTCCTAAACCCACACCCAGGTCTCTCTCAACAACTATCACGGTCACAGTCACGGTCCTCCCTTTGTTCATCGATTTGCTTGAGCAGGCCCAGTAACGTCAACATCGTGACTTGTTGTTACTTTGTTTGGCATATTTGGCATATTGAATACCTCATGGGTAGCTTGCCAGGCTTTGCTGTGTGGGCGAGATACTCTCGGTAGCTTACCGGGCTCTCCGAGAGGGGCAGAGGAATCGAACCCGGCTTGGCCGGGCTGGCTGCGCGGAAGGCAAACGCCCTACCGCTGTGCTATCGCTCCAGCCCCTAACAACTATAGAATTTTAATTTTATTTATTTGTTTTTTTGGGGATACACCTAGTGGTGCTCAAGGCTTACTCTTGGTTCTACGCTCAGGGGTCAGTCCTGGCAGGACTCAGTGGAATATATGTGGTGCTGGGGAGTGAAATTGGGTCAGTATTGTGCAAAACAAACCCTACCCCCTCTTCTATCTCTCCAGCCCACTAGAGCATTTTTTTTTTTTTTGCTTTTTTTTGGGTCACACCCAGCAATGCACAGGGATTACTCCTGGTTCATTCACTCAGGAATTATTCCTGGCCGTGCTTGGGGGACCATATGGAATGCTGGGAATTGAACCCGGGTCGGACCGCATGCAAGGCAAATGCCCTACCTGCTGCGCTATCACTCCAGCCCCACTAGAGCATTTTTAATCGACCCAGTTTTAATATCATTAATATCATTATCATACTAGGGTATGGAAAGGCCTGATGAAAGGAAGAGAGAGAGATGGGGGTAAGGCTGGTGGTGGAGCATTCAGAACACACAGATGAATGAATCTACATTTGCTGTAGTATATGGACATGGTTCATGGTGCACAGAACAAGTACAATAGTACCATCAAGGACTGGTCATCACATATCACTCAACTAAATGAAACAATCATAAAAATGTTTTACACTATTGTGAGAATTATTAAAAAGGTCAGATAGAAAATGAGAGCATGCTAGTGGAAAAAGATGCTAACAGTCGACCTCTTGTGGATCTTTCGTCTGAGACTTTATAATACCCTGCATTGCTCATTTGCAAAGACTGGTTCACTGATCTTTCTTTTTCCTTTTCCTGTTTTTGGTTTTTGGGCCACACCACATGGTACTCTTGGCTCTGCACTCAAGGATCAATCCTGACAGGCTTGGGGGATGATATGGGGTGCCAGGGATTGGCATGCAAGAGAAATATCAACCCACGGTACCATCTCTCTAGCCCCTTACTCCCCTTACTGATCTCGAGTGCTGACAAATTTCATTACACATTAACAAAGTGAAAGGAAAGGGGCAATGAGGGGCCAATGGCAGTAAACTCTGACAGCAGAACTGAGGTTCCTAAGGAGGGGGTTGGGGGCTGGTGTGGACTAGAAGCAACACAGGCAATAGAGAAGGGCTTTGGGCACACTGATGGTGATGGAACTGCACAAGGTGGTTTCTTTTTTGGTTTGGATTATACTGCTGGTGCTCGGAGTGACCCCTAGGGGTGCTCAGGGGATCATATGTGATGCTAGAATGGATCAGAGTTGAGGTCACAGCAGCGTGTGCAAGGCGGGTGCCTCCCTCCTGTACTACCTCTCTGGCCCATTGCTGCAAAACTTCTTATACCAAAAGCATAAACATGAATACTAGTATTAAGTAAATATGTAAACTCATATCAACAATTCATTTAACCAATTTTCATCCACCAGAAAATAATGATGATCAATCTCACCAAAAAGACTAAGAAGATATAAAGCTCATGATGGTTTCACTTTGCAAAAATCTTGATATAATAATGAGTGAATTTTCAAAATCAGAATTTTCTTGGAAGCCCAAGTTTCATCTTGAAAACAAATGCTATTGGCTGTTCCCCTTCGAGCATTACATTCACTCAGTCTGTAGAAAATGTCACCAAAGACCCAAGCCTGAGTGACTATAGTTAGGTGTTCTTTTGAGTAATAGTTAGGTGTTCTTTCATGTTAAAAATGAGATTCTGTTAAAAACAAATAACCCTAAAGCAGCCCATTAAAAGGCATATACTAAGAATCACACAACACTCCCCAGTCAACCTCTGTAGCTAGGCAAGTGTCCGAGGGCTGGGTGCAAGTCCCCTTTTGTTACACAGGACATAAAAAAAATTCCAAAAAGGCGAGTGTTCAAGGGTCCCCTGGCTTAAAAAAGAAAACTTTTTGGATCAGGGAAGAGACAGCTCAGTCGGTTGAGTTGCATGCGTTGCATGTGGGAGGCCTGGGTTTAATTCTTGGATTCACCTGGTCCTCCAGCCAGATATGACCCTGAGTGCAGAACAGGGAGCAGCCTCTTGAGCTCTGCTGGGTGTGGCTCAAAAATCAAAAACTAAAAACTAAAATAAATTTAAAACTTTGTACTGCTTCATGAAGAGTCATGAGCAAAGTGAATGTTGTTTGTCTTCACACCGAGGTGCCGAGAGTGAAGAATTCATGATTACTGGAGACGGTGCTTGTGCCCGGAGCCCTGCACTTGGTTGTTCTGGAACCAGTAATTCTACCTCTTACTGCATCTGTACCATCAGTGCAAAAAGTACACACAGTGAAAAAGGACGGATTTTGTCTCAGCATTAGAGTCTCACAGACTGCCTTGAAGGGCTACTGGAATACTTTTCAGATTATCTGTGGATCATATCCAGGAAGTCGCTGAGCTCAGGTGAGCTGGGGCCTGCAGGCCAGTCACTGTGCAGTGCTGCCAGAGCCCAGTGCGGCTGGCACAGAAGGATGCACAGACCAACTGTATGTGGCCACACACACCACACAGCAAAGACGTGAGCTACAGTCGCAGGGAGCAAGAGGTACTGACGGCGTTGCACCAATGGTTTCCTCTGCCGCAGGAAGACTCAGTTATGTGAAGCACATATTTCTAAGATCCGAAGAACAGACGCTAAAGCGCCACCATAATTTTGTAAAGGGATATGATAATTTCCCCCAAGAGTGTAAGCCAGGGACTCTCGATTATTTTTTGACTGTGGCCACTTGTGAACTTGCCTCCTTCTAGTGCTCCACTTCCCCGTCCTACCAACTTGCCCCCTAGACTTGTACTGTGGCACCTGACTTATGTGATTTTCGCGTGTGGCCCCTGTTGGAATATCCTGACCCCAAGGAACCATATATGGTGTGCCAGGAGTTTGAATTGGGGTTGACTGTGTGCAAGGGAAGCACCTTACCTACTGCACCCTCTCTCTGGCTCAATGGTTATTTTAAAAAATTATCTTTTAATTATTGCCCTAGAGGCAATTATTATTTAATATATTATCATTATGATATATCTAACGTATAGTTCACTACTTAACCTTTTATGCTTTTTTTTCCCCCAGGCAGAGCTCAGGGGGGTCCCTCGCTAGGCCACAGAGTTCAATATTTGAGTCTGGTGATGGCTGTGCTGCATGGTACTAGCAGTGCTGGGAGCCATACAGGTCACACACAGTGGCACTTGGGGACTATGTGGTGCTAGGGGTCAAACTTGGGTCCTTTCCATGCCAGGCATGCACTCCAACCCTTTGAGCTCTCTCTCTGGCCCCTGCCAGTTAATCTTGTTTTTGCAGGGGTTGGTGTATTTAAATCGTTTTTAAGCAAACAATACTGTGACTGTAAGATATTCACAATGTTCTGCCACCATCACTATTATTTACCCCAGGACCTTATATTCCCTCAAACAGAAACTGTACCCCTGAAACCCGAATTTCTAACTTTCTTTTCTACAGCTCCAAAAACCACCATCCTGCTTTCTACTGACAGATAGCTTTTCTTTTCTTCTCCTTTTGTTCTTGGGCACACCCAGCTGTACTCAGGGGTTACTCCTGACTCTGTGCTCAGGGATCACCCCTAGCTGTGCTTGGGGGAAAAAGAAGCGGTGCTGAGGATTGAACTGGGTCAGTTGCATGCAAGGCAAGTGCACTACCTGATGTACTGTCAGACCAAGATTGTTTTTCGTTCCCCTCAGCATCCTTAAGAGCTTTATTATATTCTTATGCATCAAAGATGTGGTTAAATTTTTTATTCATATCTGGTCTTCAGACATTGTAAGCTACCTATCTTTTTTGTTTTTTTGTTTTGTAGCCGTACCTAGTGGTGCACAGGACTTATTCCTGGATCTGTGTTCGGGGATCACTCCTGCTGGGACTGAGGGGACCATATAGGATACCAGCGATCTCACCCAAGTTAGCTGTGCACAAAGCAAGTCTCTACCTGCAGGGTTAGTCACATGCATGACAAGTATCTTAACCCCTATACTAGCTCTCAGGCCCTCAAGTTATATTAAAAAAATAAATTCATAAAAAAAAATTTGTTCTCCTGGGGCTGAAGTGATAGTACAGAGGGTAAGGTGCTTGCCTTTCAGGTGGCCTACCCGGGTTTGGTCCCGGCATCCCATATGGTCCCCTGGGCACTGCCAGTAGTAATTCTTGAGCTTAGAGCAAAGAATAAACCCTGAGCACCAACGGGTATGGCCCCCAAAACAAAACAAAACAAAACAATTTGTACTTCTGAAGGAACAAATTAAAAACTAGTTTCTGTGAGTCAGAAAGAGAGGGACAGACACAGAATGAATGCACTCATTTGTGAAATATGAAATAACCTATTATGAGACTGACATCCAAAGGACTTTAAACACAGGGCCAGGAATATTGCTCCATTGTTGGCAGCCTGCCTCATGAGCTGGGGGAGAAGGCAGCTGGAATAGAGAAGGGATCACTAAGTCAATGATTGTTGGAGGGATAGTTCCAGATGGGAGATGTGTGCTGAAAGTAGACAAAGGACCAAATGTGATAGCCTCTCGGTATCTGTATTGCAAACCATAATGCCCCAAAGTAGAGAGAGAGTATAGGGGAAATTGTCTGCCATAGAGGCGGGGTAAGGGTGGGATGTTTGGGAAGTACACTGGGGAGATTGGTGGTGGAAAATGTGCACTGGTGGAGGGATGGGTGTTCAATCACTGTATGACTGAAACTCAAACTTGAATGCTTTGTAACTGTGATTCAAAATAAATGAATAAAAAAGTTAAAACAAACAAACAAAAAATTAGTTTCTGGAGAATTGGAGAGAGCTGTGGGCTGGAGCACACGCTTTGCATGTGGAGGTCTGGATTTGGTCCCTGGAACGTGCTTTCCTGAGGCCATCAGGAGAAACCCCCAAGCACTGAGGATGTGCCCCCCTCACCAGAAACCCCCACGAAGACCACTCCTAGTCCCCCAAGCTGAATCTCATTTCTCCTTCCCTTCACCTAGTTTGCTCAACATCCCTGCTTACTTATCAGAAAGCTGGAGATAAGACTCTGAACATTCACTCACATACCTGCATGGCATCTGCGGGCTGGTTTATGTGTTCTTTAAAGATCAAGATGGTGGGGGCGTGAACATTGATGTTGTATTGTCTTGTCATTTCCTCCACCCCTCTCAAACCGACGTGCACATAGCCAAAGGACAAATAATCTTTGTATGCAAAAGCAATCAACTGGCAGGGCAAGAGAGGAGAAAAGTAAATTGATAGCAAAGCAACTAAATTACACATCACCATGAACAGGGGAGAGGAATAATAGCACTTAGGTGGTGTGATAACAATCAGATGCCTAATCTATAAAAACATTTATGCTCATTTATGCCTAACCTATATAAACATTTATGCTTTTTTGTGACATCAGGGGCCTCACAGTTGTAAGACAAATGCTCTAAAGTGCTCTACAGCCGAGCTACATTCTGGTCCCTGCTTATGTTCTTTTTCTTGGGTCTGGGTGTCACACCTGGCAGTGCTCAGGACTTACTCCTGGCTCTGTGCTCTGGGGATCAGTCATGGCAGGGCTCAGGGGACCATGCGGGATTCTGGGGATCAAACCCGGGTGGGCTGTGTGTAAGGCTATCTGTCTTCACTCTGGAAAGATTTTAAAAGACTTTAAGGGTTTCTCTGCAAGCCTCCTTCTCCCAATTTATGCTCTTGCAAAAAAAAAAAAAATTCTATCAAGTTTGACTTGATTACCTAAGTGGGTGGACATTTTGCCTTGAAAGTTACTCTCTGGCTGCTACATCCTTATACACAGAGCGGAAATCTTTGCTGCTCAATGCATGAGAAGGGCCCAAACAAGGCTAAACACAACTGATTCTCCCCCCACGCCTGCCCCAAATAGAGCACAGTTCTCATCTTACTAAGTGCTGGGTCCCGTGGGAGGCCTGACACAGGAGAGGCATTACCAATCTGTCAATGATGAAAGATGGCAGCGTCTTGCCACATTCCCATTTCATGCCACTGTGAAGGCAGGGTAAACTGGGGCCACGCAGAGAGCAGGTGTGAGGTGAGACAGGCGCCAAGAGCACAGCCCTTTTATCCCACTCCGGGGCGGCTGTGGGGCGTTTACACGGCCACTCTTGAGTTCAGGGCGCTTGGCCTCTAAAGTATGACCACATCTTTATCACTAGGGTCTACACTAATGACATGCTGTGACTAAAAGCCAGTGCGATGTGAAGAGCACCAACACAGTAACCGTATTGGCAGCTGCCCGACATATGGGGACAGGCCAAGTTTCCGGCCTTCAAACCTTTTTCATGGAATAAGCCATAACTTACAAAATAGATAATCGGGCAACCAGTTCTCTCCACCAAAATGTGAGAAGCCACTACCCCAGCACGTTAATTACCTTATATAGCAGAGGGACAGCGGGCATTTGATCAAAGAGAAGGACATGTGGTTTATTCTCTTGCTGCCAGCCAGAAAGGAATCGGACATAATTTTTATTTGTAACCTAAATTGAGAAAAAGAAGTTAGCTTCAGTATTTAATTCTTAACAACTTTATTACAATCTAGACAAATGGAATCTTACATGCATAAGAGTATTTCATAAAGAATTTAAAAAGGGAAGATTATTAATCTTTTGTCTGTCTTCATTTGAAGCTCTTTTGTCATCAAAATTATTTAACTTTCTTTTTTCCTATTTATGTCTTAAAATAATACTGAGTGAAATAAAATTGGGCAGCAGACTGTTGTCACTTCACATCTTTGCCTATAGCTCTTTCTCCACTTCTCTCCACTCACCTGGCATAGTGAATTTAAGACCCATTTCTGGGGGCTGGAGTGATAGTACAGTGGGTAGGGTGCTTTGCCTTGCACAAGGCTGACCCAGGTTCAAGCCCTGGCATCACATCTAGTCCCCTGAAAACTGCTAGAAGTTATCCCAGAGCATAACCCAGCAGTAAGCCCTGAGCGCTGCTGGTATGGAGCCCCTCCCCACCCAAAAAACCACCACCACAAAAAATTAAAAATTAAAAGAAAAAAAATTCCTGCCAGGAAGTCCTCCCCTACTCTATAGAATGAGCCCTCAACAAACGGGACAGAACCATTCACTTGCTAGACTGGGAGCTCCCTGAAAACTACAGGGCATCTATCACCTTTGTAGCAACAATAGTGCTATGCCCTCTCATAATTTCCTTTCAAATTGATTCTACAAGTATTTCTATTATGGACAATGATTCTAGTGGAAGAGTCAAAGAATAGTGCATGTGGGGCCGAAGAGAGTGCACAGCGGTAGGGCATTTGCCTTGCACGAGGCTTACCCGCGGGACTATGCTCAGAAGTGACTCCTGGCCATGTTCTGGGGACCACAGGTGATGCCAAGGAATCAGGCTTTCAGCTGCCATGCTTGCATGCGAGGCACGTGCCTAACCTCCTGTACTATCTCTCTGGCCTAAACACACCTTAAGTAGAAAACTCATTAACTAGCATGAACTTTTTGTGCCTGAATTCTTTAGCTCAACATTATATTTGTGCATTTTATTAATACTGTTGTTAACTATAAATTTTGAATATTCCAAAAATATATAATATGAAATTTGATGTTTTCTCCAGATAGGATTATTAGGTATATAGTCAAATATAATATAATTTAAATACCCTCACTAGAAAACTGCCTTCAGCAGAGAGATGGCTCAGTTGAACACATACTTTCCATGTAATAGGCTTGTGTTTGTGTCCTTCACCACATGGTCCTGAACACTTCCAGAGCAACCCCTAGCACAGACCTGGGGATAGCCCGCCTGCACCAGTGGGTGTGAGCAACAAAAACAAACCTCCAAATAAGTACAAATTAAATAGAGTGAAAGAAAGAGAAAAATAACTTTAAGTGAGAACACTCATGAGTCAGAAGGAAATCCTCTATCCTAGAGTGTGATCCAATTTTTCTGTTTGGAAAACAGTTCTTATCATTGTAGGCTCAAATTCCTAGGACAGAATAAATCTGTAGTGGGTACTAATAGATGCATTCTTCTCCACTGCTTTAATTTTCAGTCTTTGACAGACTCCATTCAAGTGAAGTGTCATTTTGTGTCATTAACACGCCCTGATTGAAGTGTGACCAGACACAGAGAGCCCCTGGCAGGCAGCTGTCCTGCCCACTGGTTAGCCACTCCTCGGCCAGGCCATCACTGACAAGTACTTACTTTCTCCACCAGGTTCCCTGGGAGAAGACTCTCCACAAAGTCAAGTAGGTTCTCACGGAACACTGCATTATGGAAGAAGGAGACTTTCCCATTGATGATTCCTAGGATGGTGGGAGTGCTGTGTGCCCCCAGGTGATGGGCCAGGCGTCTCTCATACCCAGCATGCACCACACCAATTCCCACACCTGTAAAGCACAGACAACAAAACATCTCCATGAAGCCTTTTCAGTGCCACAATGGCATAAGACTGTGGTGTGAAAAATGAAATTCTCATCTAGAAGGCAGGGGTCAATTCAGTTTTTCTGCAGAACAGTCTGGCAATATTTAAAAAAAAGTTATGAATGTTTATCTTTTAGTCTATGATTTCTAATTTGGGGAGCAGGTCATGAGGAAATAAAATAAATAAATAATAAAGGCCCTCCCGTTGATCGTCGATTTGCTCGAGCGGGCCCAGTAACGTCTCCATTGGAGACTTTGTTGTTACTGTGTCTGGCATATCGAATACTCTCGGTAGCTTGCCGGGCTCTCCGAGAGGGGCGGAGGAATCGAACTCGGGTCGGCCATGTTGGCCGCTTGTAAGGCGAACGCCCTACCGCTGTGCTATCGTTCCAGCCCCATGAGGAAATACTTCAAAAAAAAAAAAAAGAAAGCAAAGGGCCAAAGGGATAGTATATCAAGTAGGGTGTTTGCCTTGCACACGGCCGACCCAGGTTTGATCCCTGGCATCCCATGTGGTCCCCCAAGCACCACCAGGAGTAATTCCCAAATGCAGAGCCAGGAGTAACCCCTGAGCATTTTGGGTGTGACCCATAAAGTTGGAAGCGGGGGGGTGGGGGTAGGGGGAGGAAGCAAAAAAGGAATGAAAGCAAAGTGTTCTTGGTTACAAGAACCCAAACCAGAAACAATTCAAAGGTTCAACAACTCTGAAATTGTTGGAAGAGAGTTGGATTTATCCAAAGAAGGTCACAGTCTTCTCATCCTTTAGAGCACCTGTCTCTTATACGCAAATAACTACAGTCATTAGAAAACAGAGATTCTCAAAAACAAATCAAACAAAACAGTACAGCAGGCAGGGTGCTTGCCTTGCATGTGGTCCTTGACACCAGGTGTCACATAGGTGTCAGTTTGGTCCCTCACACCTATGTGGTTCCCTGAGTATAACCAGGCATGACCCCTTGAGCCCAGAGCCAGGAGTAAGCCTTGAGCACAGCCAGTGTGGCCCCAAATATACAAACAAAAAAGAAAAGAAACAGAAATCATTGCTACTAGCTTACCATTTATAACTTTTTTGTTTTGGCTATACCCAGCAGTGGCAATGCTTAGGGAACAATGAAGTGCCAGGGACTGAATCCAGGCCTCCAGCACACAAAACATGTGGCCCAGCGCCTAGAGCCAGAGATCGGGCCTTTTGGTCCTTTTCTTACACAAGCAGATGTATGCATAGACGTATATATTTACATAAAATAAAAAGGAAGCATCTGCTATTTCACTTGATATTCAAATAACTTAAAACATTTAAAATTATAATTCAGGTAATACGGTTACAACAGTGTTAAAGTTTCTGGAGTTGATGTACAAAATTACTGCACCCCACCACCGCCAACGTGCCCATGACTGTCCACCACCATCCTTCACCTCTGGCCTGCATTCCCCCTCTTCTTCCCTCCACTGTTTGTTAAGAGTTTGTCATTGTTCAGTGCTATCTATTCCCTTATTTTGTCATTCTCTATGAATAAATTTTTTGTTCTATTTGTTTATTTCTAGTTTTGTGACCAAACCTGGCAATGCTCAGGGGTTACTCCTGGCTCTGCACACAGGAATCACTCCAGGTAGTGGTGCTCTGGGGACCATATGGGATGCTGGGAATCGAACCCAGATTAGACAAAGCACCTTCCCACTGTACTATCACTGCAGCCCCCGTTGAACAATACACATAAAGGGTCAGTTACCCTGCCAAACATCGGAAAAATATTAAGTATCGATAGACAAATAATGTTCTCTTATATGTCTAAGAGTCTGCTTGAGTTTGACATTTCCCATAACCTGCTATCCAGGCCTGTCATTTCTGTCAATGGCATCTTCTTTCCCCGACAGGCTGAAAATTTTTTTTTTTTTTTGCTTTTTGGGTCACACACGGTGATGCTCAGGGGTTACTCCTGGCTTTGCATTCAGGAATTACTCCTGGAAGTGCTCAGGGAACTATATGGGATGCTGGGAATCGAACCCAGGTCACCCGCGTGCAAGGCAAAGACCCTACCCGCTGTGCTATCGCTCCAGCCCCAGGTTGAAATTTTTTTCCTTCCTTTTTGGGTCACACTTAATCCTGGTTCTGCACTCAGGAATTACTCCCGGTGGTGCTTAGGTGACCACATGAGATACCGGGAATTGAACCTTGGTCGGCTGCGTGCAAGGCAAATGCCCTACCCGCTGTGCTATCGCTCCAGCCCACAGGTTGAAAATTTTAAGAGTCATCTTTCACTTCTTTTGTCTCACACCCCACATCCAATCTGTCAGCAAGTCCTATTTGTTCTGACTTCAAAATATATCATAAATTCATCTGCTTTTCCTCCTGCTTTCATTAGGTTCCCTGAGTCATCACCGTCTTGCTTCCCTGGGTTGCCACAAATAACTTCATAAGGGGCTAATGTTTTCCCTTGTTCCGGCTGTGTGTCTCCTTGCCCCTGACAATCTGTTCTCAGTGTGGCAGCCCCAAACCGTTCCATCTAAAATACATGTTCGGCAGCTCATCCCAGATGGCTGTGGGGTCAGTTATATCCCTGAGCCTGTACTTCTGGAGCCTCGCACTTTTAGGAGCTCCTCTGCTTCCCTCCCATCCAACTTCAACCCAATAAATCCTGCTGCCTTATAAATAAATTAGCGCAACACAAGCTTGATCAGATCCTGTCCCTCTTCTCCACAAAGCCCACAGAGCTGGCACGCAGTAATCTCTGTTTCTTCCTCCTGTACAACAGGGAAAAGCGCCAAAGCCTTGCCCTGTGTGTTGTCCCATTTGCCCCACCCCTATGGCAAGGTAAATAATCTGATCTCGTTTCTTTTACTTAAAATTACCTTTGAGGCTCACTCTTCAAGCCTGTGCTCTCCCGTGAACACATAGCTCATTTACTTGTTTCCTTTTCTTTGCTTGCCTATATCTACTCTGGAGAAACCTGTCTTCTCTCTTGAACACACACTTTCTCTTCCCTTACATCTTTCTAAGTAAGTCTCAATAAAAACTATAAAAACAAAGTAAGTAAGTAAAATTACCCGTGAGAACTTCTAATTACATACATCCCTTCACTGAAGATAAGCGTTCCGTCATCTATTATTGGCTGTCTTCTTGGGTGATTTCTTCACAGGACTTTGTTACTATTATAATCCCAGTTCTAAATTTCTAAAGCATTTGAACAATCTCCCTATAGATTATCATAAGAATTAGAAAAGAATGATAAATATTTGGTGTTCAGATGTGTACTACTCCCCCTACTGTACATTCTAAGAGCATAATTACCCCACTATTTATTGTATTAGTTTTTGGGTCATTTCCAGCTATGCTCAGGGCTTCCTCCTGGTTCTCTGCTAAGGGATAATTTCTGGCAGGGTTTGGGGGGGCATATATGGTTCTAGGAATCAAACATAGGTCAATTATGCACAAGGCAAGCACCCTACAAGTTGTACTTTCTCTCCAGCCCTACAAAATTCATTTAAAGTCCAGCTATAATGGTACCTTGCATCCTGCCAGGAGTGATCCCTGAGCAAGAACCAGGAGTAAACCCTAATCCTAAAAACAATCCAACAAAAGTCCAGATATAATGCCCTCCAGACACCCCTTCCAAACTGGAGGCAAATGTAAGAGGACGGCAACCAGGCTTGTCCTGAAGTCTCAAGCTGGGAAATGACCATAAGGACAGGCGGTAGACAACAACTTCCCTTTTCCTTCACTGCTTTCAAATTCTCTACACACCAAAGCTCAGGGAGACCGATGGCAAGAGAAACTATTTCTGTATTTTTCCTGATTCCAAATAAGCTGGCGAGCTGACGGGGACTGCCCAAACCCAGCCGAACTTGAGAAGTGAATGGGACAGGAAGGCAATGCAGATTTGACTTCTTTTAGGAGTATTACTTGATTTTTATATGAACCAAAGTTTCTGGTTAAGTTACATAATCTGGCAATTAAAAAAATACTGTTCCCGGCTTGTTCACATGCCCACCTTCTCCCCTGCACACATGTCTCGCTCGCTTATCTCTACATGTATTCACCTGCTTAGTGACTTGCTCTTTTAAGCTTGTGTTCTCTTTTATGCACGTATTCCCTACCTCTTACCCCACATCGCTATGTCTTTCTAAGTAAATTTCATTGAAAAAAAAAACTTACCTTGTTTTACGCGCACACACAAAAACTGTTCTCTCCTCTTTGATGAGGTAAAGAGAGTCCTTCTGTACATTACTAAGCATTAGTTTATCACGCATATATTTTGAGGTACTAAGTTATACTTTCTTTCATTTTGTAATTCTAATTGTATAGCACATCTTTTAGTGGCATTCTTCACCCACCTCCAAAGATTAATTTGTCTTTATTCAACTTTTGCATATGTCTTAAGGAATGATACAGACAACGCAAAGAACACATCATACAAATCTATTCACAAACAAAACACTATGATGAAAAACTATGTGAAGCAAAAACAAAATCAAGAACATGAAGAAGAGAAGGAAAAAAAACCCCTATTTTAAAAAATAAACCAGTACCTAGGCAGACCCTTATCCTAGATAGTAGGAAAGGATGTTGCATTTAATAAGTCTTTTTTTTTCTTTTTCTTCTTCTTTTTTGGGGTGGGGTGGGAAGGGAATCTGGTGATGCGGAGGGCTTACTCCTGGCTCTGCACTCAGGAATCACTCCTAGAGGTTCCTGGGGGACTGTATGGGATGCCGAAGATTGAACCCGGACTGGCTGTATGCCAAGAGAGGCACCCTACCCACTGTTCTCTTTCTCCAATCCCCTCTAGAAAATCTTGAAAGAAATCATTCCCCTCCTTCTTAAAAAAAGAAGTCACAGTGAATCATCATCACCTGATCATCCAAACTGGCTTCCCCTTAAATGCTACTTGTTTCAAGACACTCACCTTCCTTGAGATGCTGCCAGCTTCCCTAGTGTTCTGCCAGCCCTCTTCTGTAGCACCCAGAAGGC